TGGGTGTCACAAATGATGAGGAATTAATAAAAATATGATATTGGAAGCTGAAATTGCAATGGTGTTTAATCTCTTCATGGATCAATGATGGAACAGGTTAAGGAAGGGACAAGTTGGTCCCTTTCTCACTTGGCACCTCATTTCTACTCTGCAGACCCAGAAGTTTCTTGTCTAAAGGTCACACTGATAGACTCCTCTGTCATCACTGATTGGAGAAAGTGTTTGGCTGCACATATAAATAATATTTCAGTCTGAAAATGTGCAATGTACTTGTCAAAGAAAAGAAACATTAGTTCTAATGGAATTAGTGCAACGACTCTCTAAGAATACAATTCATGAAAGACCCTTGGATGGGCTACCAGGAATCAGGTTCTGTTCTTCATTATCTTCTGATTCAAAACACATGTGGAGGGATCCTTATGAGTCTATTGTCTCACAAGCACACATAGGAATGAAATCAAGACCTCCAAATGTGGAGTCCTTACCTCCATCCAGAGCCTTCTCAGCAGATCTTCCACTGATAACTGTGGCTTCATCCTTTGCCCCAGTTCCCTCTGCCCCCATACCCCGTACCATTCCCACAGGAACCTGATTCCCACTAAGAGGGCAAATGTGTTTCTTCCATGCCTACTTGGAACACAGATAATAAAGGAGTAGCAACAGGCACAGTTAAGATTTCTGAACCCATTCTGTGTGGCTGTCAAGTGCTAACACCATGGCAATTATTATCAAATTTCTTCCTCACACAGCCCTGTGGCATAGGCTTTATTTCCAGGCTACATTCCAAACCCCATACTCTTAACCATGAAACTGAAGTTTTCATTCACAACATTATTTTTAACAGCCACTCAGAGTATTTAACATGATGCGTTATTGCTCAGGTCCAAGAATGCTAGAGAGAACAGTGATAAGAGCTCAGTAAGACTAAGGCCAATCTTTAGCTCCAGCTTTTCTCTCCATCCTGGCCCCAGATTCACTGAGCAGCTGACAGACCAGGGCTCAGAGAAAATGCCTGGCATGGAAGTGAGGGAGCACGCCCATTTGGGATCAGCAAATAGCTCTCAGACCTAAAGTGGGAGCACCTCCTCTCTCCTTGTGCATTATTTTTTTGCTTTTATTTTCAATCTCTAGCAAAAATAGGTGTGCCTTCCTAAAAAGAGAAAGTAGATTCCAGAAAACATGAATTAAAAAGATGACTTTTAAGTGACTACTAATTTCCTTAGATTCCTATGAGGGAAAGTAAAGATTAATAACATAGAATCAGTCTTCAAGATGAAAATGACTTTAAACCACATTCCACCCCCACTTCCATTGCCTTATTGTATAATCAAACAAACCTAAGAAAGAAGTAAAATATCGTGGTTTGTCAATCATGTTGTACTCCATGAGACTGGATATAATCAAGACACATTTTGAAATATGGCACATTTTCATAGTCAGTTTTTAAAGAAAAACTATATAGTTTTTGATTAAATTACTGCAACACACAAATTCTGTTAGAATATCAAATATTAATGATGCCGATATATAACACAAAACCTAGTAATTATAAAATGAAACTACTAAAAGAATCTAGTCAATGCGCTCATTAGGAGAAATTTTATTTAACTTTGGGTCTGTAATTATTTACTGAGTATGTGTTGTGTTTCAGGCGTGGAGCTATAGCTAAGACTTCAGATGTGGAGGCTTAGTTCTTTCCTAAAGACAGTTCTGTAAAGAAGAAATGTAAGTGGCCAACAAATTTATTTAAGAAACTCCATATCACTAGCCATGAGGAAATGCAAATCAAAATCATAATGAGATATCACCTCATCCTTGTCAGAATGACTACTATACGAAAGATAGAAAAAGCAAATGCTGGTAAATATGTGGAGAAAGGGGAACTCTTGTCACCGCTGGTAGGAATGTAGATTAGTGTCCCCAGTGTGGAAAACAGTATGGAGATTTCTCAGCTAAATTCATATGATCCAGCAATCTCACTGCTGGGTATTTACCAAAAACCATGAACATTTTGTATTGAAGAGATAGTTGCACTATCATATTTATAGCAGCACTGTTCACAATGGCTAAAATATGGAGTCAGGTAAGATGTATATCATCAGATGAATGGATAAGGCAAATGTGATATATATAACATATATACGTACATACAGTGGAATACTTTATACAGGTATAAAGATTGAAATTTTATCATTTTCAGCAAAATGGTTAGAATTTGGAGGACATAATTTTGAGTGAAATGAGTCAGACACACATAGACAAATTCTGCTTGCTCTCCTTTGTATGTGGGTACTACCTTTTTAAATCAAGAAGCAAAACCAAACAAAGAGACAAGCCTGTGTGTATCAGTTTTGTCGAAAATACAGTGTTTTGTCAACCTTTATTTTAAATATTTATCAAGCAAATTAGTAGAAATTACATGCTACTGCAGTTTTAATGATTTTGTGATTATTTTAAAATTTACATGAGTGAAGTTGAAAATCTTTTTACTTGATTATTATTTATAGCTCTTTTCTATTTTCCTGCTGAACTATGGTCTTTTTACATTTTCTTTGTTGAACTCTTTATTTAGTGGAACATTATGATTTTGACTATATAGTATAAATTAAAAATATGTTATCTCAAAAAATAATAAATAAATATTAAATTGGAAAAAAGAACCTATAACCTAGTGGATAATCACCAGCTTATTGTAGTGGAGACAGCCCTTTTAAAAATGTTTGCAATTTGCTATTTTACCAAACTGTCTTATTTACCTGGAAGATTGTACACACACACACGCACACACACACATACACACGTATGTATTAGAAATACCTTTCCAGTATCAATTGATGTAGCTGTCAAAATTATGAAGGATCTGAGATTTTACCCTATGTTTAAGCTAAGAATTTAGCTTGTCACAGTCTCATGGATGCTGGTAGAAGACATAAGATTACTGAATTATAGACAAAGGATTTTATTACTCACAGCAGCTGTAGTAGTGAAAATGTCGCTATTTTCATTTGTTTGTTCTCCAAACCCCATTCCCCACATAGAGCTATAAAGAGAGCCAGCGGATACCTGCACACACTGAGGTTTGTATTACAAGGGAGGAATTCTGAGTTTAGGAAACTCAAATCTTTTGCAATGGGCAGTAAGCATACCTACCTTTGCTCCAGAGAGAGAGATGATTTTTGTTATACTGGGCAATAAGCATGCCTGTACTTTACTCTCAGTGGAGACACCTGCTCCACTTTCCAACACAAAAAACAAACCTGCCCTTTGCTCTCAAAGGAGGTCGATCCAAATCTCCCAAGTCTGCTTGGTGTTAAAACATCCTTGGAAAGATCATCCAGGAAAAAGACAGTCAGAGCCTCTGTCTGAGATTCTGCTTTGGTGTAGAAACCCCAGAAATCCATGGGAAATTGTATCCCAACAGTTTTTTCCCAAATGGTTCATAACTAATATTATAGACATTTTTGTCACAAAAGTTCATGTGAATTGTGAGGGCTGCACATAAAATAAAGGCTCTCAATATCTGCTTGATGAGGTAGATTCTGGTCCAAATGCCCACCAAAATAATAGGTCGCATTCATGTTGACATGTCTTTTCCAAAGATGTGATTTGCCCATAAAAGGAAAGTATCACACTAGAAATTTAATTCTAAAAAGGCACTTATCCTCCCATGAAATATGCACCATATTAATTCAAATATTCCCCCTGCTTAATTTAGAAAGATACTAGCTTTAGTCCCTCAACTATGATGGCTCAGGGAAGGCTGTTAGTCCTTACATGAGTATCAGTGAATTGGCCAATAAATTCTTAAGCTTCAAATCATCATAAATTAATGTCATTCAAAACTGGAATACACATGTATATATACATCTCATTATATAAAAGTTTGTGCTGATTGACTCTGTGTGATATACAGACTTTAAGAATTATCTTTAAAAATATTATTTCTGGTATCCTCAGAATGCTGAATCATGGATTAACTGTGACGGCCAAGAATACTCAAATCCAACCTTTTGCTCAGTCAACAAATCTACCATCAATTGTTTCCCAGGACATGGGAAGTGGAGAAACAGTTCTTCTATCATAAAAATTACTAATAAAAAGTATCTTCAATAGCAGAGATTGATCAAGGCCCTCTCATTAACAAACAACTTTGTTTCATAGGAGGAGTTCCGTCTTATAAGCTATATATTAAGAGGCTGATTTACTTGTCTTCTCAGTACTGGGATTGTGCTATATTAGTATACAACCACACTGCTGAGAACACCAAGATTTTTTCCCATTTTTAAAAGAATTATTTATTTATATGACAGGCAGTTAGAGAGAGAGAGAAGGGGGGGAGAGAGAGAGAGAGGAAGAGACGCAGAGATCTTCCACCTGCTGATTCACTCTGCAAATGGCCACAATGGCAGGAGCAGGGCTGGTCCAAAGGCAGGAGCCAGGAGCTTCTTCCAGATCTCCCATGTGGGTGCAGAGGCCCAAACATTTGGGCCTTCTTCTATTGCTTTCCCAGGCCATTAGTAGGGATTTGGATTGTAATCAGAGAAGCCAGGAATTCAACCAGGAGTCAATATGGCCACAGATGGTGGCTTCACCCTCTAAGCCACAGCACTAGCCCCTCCATTTTCTTTTCTGGAGATGTGATGAAGAATGGGGCTTTGTTAACTGGTTTCAGTGCCATTTTAAAATCTTGTAAATTGCATAAGCTCAGAAGAACATTGGGGACCATTAACTGGTTGTTTTGAAATCTGTAAAATGACTGCATTGGTGTGGGGAACTCGACTTCTGCTATTCAGAAAACATATTGAATGTCTACTACAGATTGAAGCTCTCATACAAGCTCTTTCACTTCCTTATTTTAACCCTTGGGAAGAAGAGAAAATTTTTTTGAGGTAGAGATTTTCAAACCCATTTTATAGTACAGGAAACTAAGGGCGGGGTGGGTTAAATAACATGTCCAAGGTCAAATAGCTAATGAGTCTCCTATCTTTTTTTTTCTGTAGCTGCTTTTCTTTCCACTAATGAATGGCTGTATCCACAAAGATGCCCAGTAATTCCTCTTCTGTAAAACTGTAGATCCGCCTGAAAAGGTCAGTGTGTATGTTCATATCCACATATGAGAGGGCTTCTAAAAGTTCATGGGAAGATTAAAGGTTAATGCAAAAATTCCATGAATGTATTTCAGCCTCATCATTTATGGTTATCTGCAATTTTCAGTTATTATTGCATAAATGTATACTTCTAAACATCTTTCAAGACACTTTGCACTTCCTATTTCACTTCATCTTCATAATTAAATTAACAGGTGCACATTATTCCCACATTTCAAATTAAAAGCACTGGGTTTTAGGATATACTCTGAAGCTATCCCTGAAACAATTACTGTTCTTCTCTTGCTTGAGTTGTAAATTCCATTCTCCTATTAGATCCAAATAAATATGCTGTGCTTTGCCTTCCAGCCACTGCCCCATGCCTCTCCTCTCCTCCACAACAAGACTTGTCATAGTAGTGCTTGCTGGTCCAGCGTTCTTCGTTTCTCTTGAATCCATTTCAAGCAAGACTTTTGGTTACTTCCCACTGGAATCCTCTTCAAGGTCACTAATGACCCTGCCTTTCCTAACTCAATGGTCACTCCTCAGCTTTTACATTTGTTGGCCTCCAGCCAGCACTTAACTGCACAGATCTTGTGGATAATTCTCTTCGCTTTAAAACACCATGCTTGTTAAGTGTGTTGTCTACATTCCTAGCTGTCCTTTCTCAGTCTCTTTTGAGGTGTTCTTTTCATATCCTTAAACTGTAGCCAGGACCTTAATTCTTTCATCTCTTGTCTTTTCACACTCCAGCAACTCAGCTTCAAGGAACGTGTGCATGCTGACCATGGACCATGCTTGTGCACCTCAGATATGAAACTTGAGTGGTGCCTTGACATCTCACTTGCATCCATCACAGGTATCTATAATTAACATGACCCAAAGTTCCTTTAATTCCAGTCCAGACTGGTTCTTCTTATTTGGATCCTTAATCCTGAAAAGCTAATTTGACTCCTTTTCCTCACCCTATACAGGTTCACCAGAGAATTCTATTGGCTTAAACTTCAAACCCTATCCAGAGGCCAGTGGCTTACCTCACCTGCTTCACCACTCTCTCTCTCTCTTGGATTATGGAAGAGCTTCCTGCCCGTTGTTCCAGCTTCTATTCTTGGCAAAAAAAAAGCCAAAGTGCTTTTTAAAATAGAGTTTGATCTTATATTTATGTGTTCAAAAAACTCCAGAACATTTTGTGATGAAGTGGACTCTGTTCTCTCAAAATTCGTATGCTGAAGCCTTACCCTTTTGTTTCTCAGAATGTGATTTTATTGGGTGAGGTCATTAAGGTGGGCTCTAATTTTGTAGGACTGGTGTCCTACAGAAGAGGGAAATTTGGAGGTAGATTTTCATAAAGGGAGAACACCTGATGACTATGAAGCTGGCCATCAACAAGTCAACAAGGGAGGCCTGGACAGAGCCTTCCCTTGGAGTGCTCAGAAGGAATAAACCTGGCCAGAACCTTGGTCTTAGACTTCTGGCCTCCAGAATGGGAGACCGTAAATTTCTGTTGCCCGACATACCCAGTTTGCAGTGCTTTGCTATGGCAGCCCTGGCAAATGAAACAGCTTCCCCTTTCCGCAGGGTAACATCAGGACTCTCTCAGTAACCTGCGAGGCCCTTCACTGTTGAGCCCCTTACTTATCTGAGGTCTTGCACGCTGCTTTCCTGTTGCTCACTCTGCTCTAGCTCGACCAGCATTTTGCTTCCTTGCTCCTGGTATCAGCCCTTCTACTTATTCTCTCCCGCAGGGAATGTTTCCCTTCCAGATCGTTCCTGGCTTGCTCTCTCAACTTTTGGGTTGTTCTTCTGACACCACATTTTAGATGCTTTATTCTCCTAACTAGCTAATTTGCTTTATTGTTTACTTGTTTATTTTGCTTATTGCTGTCCTTTTCTCATGAAAATACAAGCCACGTGAGGTCAGAAATTTTTGTGTTTTTATTATTGAGTGTAAAATAGCTTCTCAGGGTGGGCATTTGGCACAGTGGTTAATACATTGCTTGGGGATGCCCACACACCATTTCAGAGTGCCTGTGTCTTGTTCAAGTCCCAGCTCTACCTTCAATTCCAGTTTTCTGCTGACGTGCACCCTGGGAGGCAGCAGGTGATGGCTCAAGTCTTGGGTCTTTGCCACCCATTTGGGAGACCTGCATTGGGCTCTGAGCTCCCAGGTTTAGCTTGGCCTACCTCCAGCGTTGAAGTGAACATTTGGGAAGTGAATCAGTTGATGGAAGATAATATTCTTTCTGTCTCTGTCTCTGCCTTTCAAATAAAATGAAATAATTTTTTTAAGCACAACTCCTGGCATGTAGTAGGAAATAAGAAATGTTAGCTGAGTAAATGAATAAATCATAAATGTACCATGTGTGGGAGGCTCAGCTACTTTCTGAAGAGTGATGGGAACTCTGGCCCTGCCTTCACTGCAGTTAACAAGTGCTTCTGTCTAGTAAACACCTGCTAAGGAAGTAACAAGTACAGCCTCTGTCCTTGAGAGATTACAAACTCACTGGGGGGACTATACACACAATGAATGAAAAATTACAAATACGAGGTCCACAGAGCAATACTTCAACATGAACAAATAAATCCAGCAAGGGCTGGCTTCTCAAACTGGTGAGTCAGGGAGCTTTATCAGAAAAGAGTGAATTACATGGAAACAAAGTAGGACAAAACCAAACAGTAGCAAGCATTGTTAAGAATGCTTTCCTATATGCCCTATATCATAAGAACATGTGGAGACTTTATGGGAAGGTCTCAAGCACATGTATTGGGAATGTTTAGCTTATAATATGAGTACATAAGTAGATTTCTCAGCAAATACTTTGCCCCTTGAAGAATCACAATCCTACTAAGTGGCAGAACCAGCAACCTAAATGGAGAGCAAATTGAAACTCCTAGGAACGCTCTGAACAGGTAGAAAGTAATCACCAAATTGGGATCTAGCTACCACCTGATGAAAACCAATTAAATTTTGTAGAGGTGGCAAGTGACAGAAGGAAATAAAGCTAACTGGAAAATAACCCTTGATGTTTGCTTTGGGCTTTCTCCTGCTCAATCTATTTGTCTCTTTTTGATTTTTTTCTTTTCACATTAAAAGCTCCCTCTAATTTCTTAGATGGGTAATTAAACCCTGACCTCTGGTATGAGTCCCAAAGTAGTTATGAAAAAATCCTAATCTGGAGGCAACTTCTGTTCTTAACTTTATGCTGATTCACTGTGGGCTCTCAGTTGTCCACAAGAGTCCCTGAGTTCTTTGTATGACACACACTCCACAAAGCAGAGGTTTATTATGGTAACATCTATTGCAGATATTTATCTAAAAATAATTCCAGTTTCACTTCTGATGTCTAGAAGCCTCTCTTTTTTCTCTTTATCTTCTATTTTTTTCCCTCCTCCCACTCATTCAACCTCCCAGCAAAACAATAACCTAGTTAGTAGGGGTGAAATAAGTTCAAGATTCAAAATAGAAAAGCATATTTACATGAATCTACAAGGTTGTGAAAATTAAAGAACCTTTTATTGAGTGTCCAACACAGATAATATGCAAACTTCTGGAAGAATATTCCAGAAATGTTTTTCCTTTGATTAAAAAGCACTAGATTCATTTAAATTGCCTCCTTACATTACACTTAGCTAAGCTGAAGCAGAGCTACAGGGCCAGGCAGCTTCTTGAGGCCAAACCACATGTGACACAAGAGTATGGTAAACTTGACCCCAAGGTTGAAATATTACACTAAGTTAATTTCTCTTCACTTTGAAGTTCAGAATTAAAGACTACTTCACAGTGGGAGTATGCCCAAAATTAGGTTGTTGTGATATACTGCATTGTTCATATATGGGATAAAATATCTGAATATATCCAATATATAAATCCTTGTGTTTATTTATTCATAAATTGTATAATGTAATAAATACTATTACATCAAAACATACACAAAACAGAAAGGATGAGTTTAGGATAAAATAGACAATGTTTTTGAATGTCTTGCTGCTCATGATGGCTCCATGTCCTGATGAGCTAACATCTCACAGATCAACATAAGCGTCAGCCAAGGTTCATCTTTAATGGTGATGAAAGTAAATCTCTATTTTGAATAGTCTTCTCAACAATGCCAAATGATTTCTGCCAAACTCTTCTCTGGTGTGATTAGACCATGACTGTGTTGAGCTCATGCTATGGCTGACAAGTAGCTGCTCCTATGAAGAAGAGAAGGGTCAGTTCTACCACCTCGTTTTCTTGTGCCTGACTCACATGGTAGAAAGCATTGTGGGTTTCATCAGGAATTCTTTACAGGATTAATTTTAAGCCAGCAGTTTGTGATGATTGGTTTATGAAAACTAGATCATGTGATCCATAAATCCTTTCAACAAGGGTGCATGTATATGCCCTGCTGTGTAACATGGTAAAATATATGAGATAACTCTGATTGGTGATGGAGCTCTTCTTCCTTCGTGTAATTTCTGACATGTGTCTCATTAACGATAGTGAGATGTAAATCTTTCTTGTTTTTTAAATGACTATAGAAGGTCTAGTATATTGTTTCCCAGTCATTTATGTGGGGCATTCACTTTGAAGATCACAATCCCAGGGTTTTCTCAAATATGGAAATCATCTATTTTTTGAAAATATATTTAGAGTGTTTTATGATATTAGCAGTAAACATTTTAATTTCAAGATAACTATATGAAAATATCAAACTGGAGTAACCTGCCAAACCAAGACTGGTGTGCTTTTCTCCCACTTTAGTGACCGAATAGCTAAAAGCTAGATTATATTACCATAATGTTTCATTCTTTTTCTTGTCTTTTTAAAGTCAAATTTAATAAAAGATAGTGTGGGGAGCAACTGAGACTAGACTAAGTTACTGGAATTAAGACTTATTCTATGCATCTGCTCTCCCACAATATGGTGCTGGGGAGGAGCAGGCAACTTCTACGCAGCTGCCTCGCCAATTTGTCTAACAAGCAGCAGGAGCTGATCCTGCTCCTGATTGGAGGAGAGCAGCGTGCTCGGCGTGTGGGTAGCAGAGTTGGGATTGGTGGAAGAGGACTATAAAGGAGGAGAGAGACAACATGCACCAGGAACATCCGGATAACATCTGAGCAGCCCCCGAGAGAGCCGGCCGGCCGGCGGTGTGCCGCTCCTCCGCGGAAGTGGGGAAAGTGGCGGGGGGTGCCGCCCCTCCACAGAGGGCGTCGTTCCTCCGCCAGTGAGGGCCGGCAGCAAACCCGGGAAGAGCCGGGCAGAAAGAACAGCACAGGGTCTAGTGTCATTCCTCCACGAATGGGGGAGTGACAGATAGAGATACTTGAAAAGAGATAGTTCAGAAATTGTCATATTTTGTCTTATTCCTGTCATCAGCCAATAACAATCTTTCTCTAATGACAATGTCTATAATCACTATTATTTATTTTTTTAAATTTATAATGTATGTCACCCTTTCTGTATATGACATATGGCAGTAGTGGGCTTACTGAAGCAATAGTCAATAAAACAGTCAGAAATATATTAAGGAATAAACTACCAGCAGGTGCAACAACATGGAAAAATTTTCTTTCCTTTCTTTTTCTAAAGATTTATTTATTTATTTGAAAATCAGAGTTACACAGAGAGGAGAGGCAGAGAGAGAGAGAGAGAGAGAGAGAGAGAAGTCTTCCATCTGTTGGTTCACTCCTTAAATGACTGCAATGAGTGGAGCTATGCTGATCCTAAGCCAGGAGCCAGGAGCCTCCTCTGGGTCTGTCACACGTGTGCAGGAGTCCAAGGACTTGGGCCATCCTCTACTGCCCTCCAGGCCACAGCAGAGAGCTGGATCAGAAGCAGAGCAGCCAGGTCTCCAACCGGCATCCATATGGGATGCCAGCGCTCTAGGCCAGGGCTTCAACCCTCTGCGCCTCAGCACAGGCCCGGAAAGAATTTTCAATGCATCATGCTGAGTGAAGAAAATCAGCTGGGAAAGAGTCTGTACTCTCTGGCTCCATTCATAGGAAGTTCCAGAAAGCAAACTAATCAGTCATGATAGAAGTCAGGATGGTGGTTGCTCCTTCAGATATGGAGAGGTGGGATTCACTGGGATAAATTATCTGGGTGCTTTCTCAAGGAACAAGAATGTTCAATTTCTTGACAGGGATGTGTATTAAAGGGATGTAGGTAGTTTTCAAAACTCATTGATGTACAGTTAAGATATATGCATCTCATTACATGTAAAATATACCTCAGTGGAAAAAAATTTAGGTGCATCATAAACCAGTTTCTAACAATCAATTTATATCAATCTAACAACACCTTATCAGCACCTCAAAAGCTAGTTCCATGTAGTCACAATTAAGTGAGGAGGCTACAGCTGGTAAAACCTGTACATGAGGTGCCAAAGTGTTTCTAATAATAACAGTAGATATCATTTTATTACATATGGACTATATGTCAAGAATTCAATTGTCACAATCTCATAGTGCAGGCAAAAAAAAAAAAAAACCCTCAGGCGTAAAAAATTTGAAGAATTTTCCCAAGGCAAATAAGAAATACACGGCAGATCTGCACTTGAAATTTAGGGGTCTTGATTTTGGAGGACCTGCCTTTAAATGCCATAGCAGTACAATCCTTTCATAGAGAAGAATGTAGAGATTTCCAGTCATTTCAAGGATAGAAGTCATAAATAGATACGGAGTGTGCATGCTGTTCCAGTGCTAAATGTGTCTTTTTATTATCTCTGCAGAGTTACAATTACATCTGCTTTCTTAAAGATGAGGGCTTTGAAGCTCAGAGAATTTGAGCAGCTCTTGAAAGTGGAAGAACATAGATTCCGTTCAAAAGCCACAAAGGTCAAAGTCCACTATTTTTCTACTTTTAGGAGCTCTTACCTTGGAGGACCACCAGAATCAAGGGTAAGGATTTTTAATTACACATTTCTGGGCTCTATGTAAGGTGTTTTCATCCTATAGATTTTAGGGGACTTGTTCTTTCTTGAAAAGGCCTCACTGGTGATGCTAATGAAGATCCCTGTGAAGGTACTAAGTTTGGCTGGTTTTTCATCAGGTCAGCCCTCCCTCTTAAAATGTGTCTGCATTCCTGTTACTGTAAGAAATTAAATAAAGAATAGTCGTCTCTCATGTCTGCCATTAGGTGCTGAAGGGTTGTAGGCAAAGTCGGGGACAGCCTCTGGGCTACGGTGTCCTCATTGGTAATGTAAGAGTTGAACTTATCTTTAATGAGTTGTTTCATTACTACATTCTGTAAACTTAAAATAGGTCTTATTTGAAAATCTTCTACCTGGGTGACCCTGGAGCATACAACTTGGTGGAAAGTTGTTGAAGCATTGATGATGAGCATATAAAATATCTTAAACATGGTGACATTTTCTGGGAGAGCCTAGAGATGACATTTGTTTCTAGACAAACTGATTTTACAGAGAAACTCAAGTTTTTGAAACTTCAGCAAAATTAAATAAACAACTCTGTTTCTCACCTACCTATTTAAAATTTACAGCACTGTTTGGATATAAAGCTATGCATGAAGTGATTTTTACCTTCAAGGAGAATCCAGGAGATGCCAAAAGACAGTACATAATCCATTGATAAGTAAGCTGCATCTTGCTAAGTGTTTAACACTATGTTCAGGGAGTAGCAGAGATAGGGACTCCTGATGTTGGGCCACCAGTCATCTGACTTGACATCATGAACTTGTGGTTTCACTAAAGGTCATACTTCAGAAAATTCCTTAAAAATAAAGGTTAAGACTTTCAACTTGTATAATGGGGTAGAAGGTCAACCACAGTGGAAGGAGGCATGAACTTGAAAGGAAAAAGAAATTTAGTTAATTTGTAAAACTAGAAGGACAAATGTGGAGGAAAGAGAGCGATAGATGGTCCATAGCCATGGAGGGAGTTGAGCAAGCACAGGAGACAGGAGCAGCAGTTGCTGTTCACCCACTCTTCTGAGAGAAAGTGACTATTCTGGTGTCTATAGGCCTTCTATTGCCACTGGCCTGAGCCCCATTTTGGTCTTAACCTCTGCCTCTCCACTGACACAGAGCTCCAATCTTTCTCTGACCCTGCTTGTTCCTCCATTTATTCTTCCTTCACTCTGCCACATGGGCTGACTCCAATCACTTGCCAGGTGACAAGTGTCTGCTGCCTTCTCTCCCATGCTTCTGCCTCCCTCTACTGCTTGGTCTTTCTTCCAGAGCAAAGCAAAGCCAGATTCTTGCAGTGGGAGAAACTTAGAGGAGGGACTGGCTTGGGTACATGAAGTTAGGGCCTATGCTCCTGGTTGGAGAGGGAGCACACCTAGAGCAAACATTCCAGCTTTGACTTCCTTTTCTACTTCTCTTTGATTTTGCTTTCATACTGCTGCCTCTACTCTATAGTCATATAATGTGGGTACTTCAAAAAGTTCATGAAAAATAGAATTGAAAATAAATTTATTTTAGTGCAGAACATTTTCATAAGCTGTGCATACTTTTTTCATAATACATATTTCCATGAGCTTTTTGAAGATCCTTTGTATAATGTTTGCATTTATATATTTATATATAGTCTTTTATATTCCTCTAGTGTATAGTCTTAGTGAAGTTAGAAAATACCTAAAATCACAAATTAAAAAACTGGTTAAAAATAATTTTGTTAAAAAATATGCAAAGAGGGGGGCTGGCATTGTGGTACAGTGGGTTAAGCTGCCGCTTGAGACCCAGACATCGCATACTGGGGCAATAGTTTCAGTGTTTGCTGCTCTGCTTCCCATCCAGATCTCAGCTAATGGTTCTGGGAAAGCAATGGAAGATGAGTGAAGTATGTGGGCTCTTGTCACTCACGCTGGAGACCCTGATGGAGTTCCTAGCTCCTGACTTCAACCTATCCAAACCCTGACTATTGTGGCCATTCGGATAGTGAACCAGTGGATGGAAAATCTCTCGGTCTCTCCTTCTCTCTCTGTCACCCTGCTGTTCAAATAAATAAAGTAAATCTTTTTTTAAAAAAAAAAGTTGCAAAGGTTCATCTTTAAGAGACTGGGCTTGAGAATCTGCCGTCTTATTTTAGTCTTCAACTTCCTCTATGTATTTGTATTCTCCAAGGAAGAGGGTTTTGTTTGTTTTGCTCTGTTTTACTTCTAATATAAGCAGTGCATTTGGGAAGAACTCATATCAAATTCTATGCAGGAGCCACAGATTTACTTTGTATGAGTTCACAAATTTCTGCCAATGATGGATCAACTTGTCTCTTATATTATCAGATGGGCTCAGAATAATACTGACACCAGATCCAATAGGATGGTCTGTGACCAAACAGCACCAAAGATCCCTTTAGTTACTTTTGTCGCTCCCCCTCTTCGTGGAGGAACGACACTAAACCCTGCCTAGGCTTCATATCCGAGTCACGGCACCATTATGTCGCTCCCCCTCTTCGTGGAGGAACGACACAGGACCCTGCGCTGTTCTTTCGTCTGCTCGGCCCTTCCCGGGTTTGCTGCTGGTTCTTCCCGGGTTGGCTACCGACCCTTCCACCTCCGTGGAAGGGCGGTTCCCCCTGCCAGCTTCCCCACTTCCGCGGGGGAGTGGCACACCGCCGGCCGGCTCTCTCGGGGGCTGCACAGGTGTTCCCTCAGATGTTCCCCTTAGATGTTCCTGGTGCATGTTGTCTCTCTCCTCCTTTATAGTCCTCTTCCACCAATCCCAACTCTGCTGCCCACACGCCGAGTACGCTGCTCTCCTCCAATCAGGAGCAGGATCAGCTCCTGGAGGTCATCACTCAAGTTGGCAAGAGGCAGCTGCGTAGAAGCTGTTTTCTCCTCTCCCAGCGCCATATTGTGGGAGAGCAGATGCATAGAACAAGTCTTAATTCCAGTAACTTAGTCTAGTCCGAGTTGCTCCCCACAACTTTATGTTAGAAGGAGGTAACATACAGAGCAATCATTCAGAAATTTATGGATTTCTCATTTGCACAATGAGAAACAACCAGATGTATATAGTCATAGTTAATTACAATAAAGAAATTAGCATATTTATTTTTAATTAAGGTTCTTCTATTTTCAAGTACTAACTTTAAGTTTTCAAGAATCTATATTTTAAGTTTAAAAATGTTCTCAAAAATATACATAAATTCAGTAGAGCACTGAATTTCAATGATATGTCACTTGTGTACAAAAAACACCAATTTGAAGAGTGCAACTGCTTGAGTTTCACAAATGTATGTATGCTGTAATTTAAGCACCATCACAATCATGACTGGTAATATTCCCATCTCCTTAAAAAGTGCCTTCATGCCCTTGTGTAGTGAATTTTCCCTGTCAATACGTTAGTCCTTAACAGTCATTGATCTCTTTTCTGACACTTTGGTTTTGTCTTTTCTAAAATTTCATGAAAATGACACTTTGCAGTGTGTTGTCTTTTATATCTGGATTTTTTCATTTGTCATAATTGTTTTGCCATTCATCCATGTTGTTGTTTAAAATAATTTTAGTGTTGTATATCTTTGGCTTTGCTATTTGAAGGCCAGCCATTGTGAATATGACATCAATGTCATCTGTAAATTTTGTTTGATCACAGAAATTATTTTTTCTACCAACAAAGTGCAACATGCCTCCCAATCACTAGAGGGTAGATTTCTATTTCCCTGCTCCCATCATTTGCTTTTTCTCCTCAGTGAGAGAGAGAGAGAGAGAGAGAGAGAGAGAGATTCACTGAAACCCCAATTCCCCTTTCCTACTGGGTCCTTCTCTGTGTTCTGTGAAGCCAGGCATGATGGCTAACAGAAAGTAAGCAGAAGTGGTGTGTACTCCTTCTAGAGAGAAGCTTGAAGAACATCTATCCCCTTCTGTTTTAGTGGCTCTGTGGGCATTTGTGGACAGGCTCTGGAGACTTGAGTGAGTACAATCAGAGGTAATCTGTATGGAACACAAAATGTGAATGAGAAACTACAAACCTTCACCACTGAGATTTTATGGTTGACTCTTACTGATCACATGAGCATTCTGTTCTATCTGACTGAAGAAGGCAGGAGTGGCATGGCTAGAGGCACAAAATGGCTGTTTTCCAATCAGAGGATTCTTTTTAATCTCTCAGCAGTTTCAAAATAGTTTTCTTCCTTTTTGAAGACTTATTCAAAATTTGTGTTAAAAATGTAAATGTATATATTAACTACTCAATGCAGCCTGTTCAGCTGGGTCTTGGATAGAGGTTGCCATTACTCAAAGGGATCATGTCCTTTCTCCATGGCATGGGATTGAAAGCAGAATGTCATAAGGATAACATGGTTCATCTGCAGAGGAACACAGTAACTAGCCATGCTAAGTTCTGTAGCCAAAACTTCTCAGGGCTCACCAATATCTGGGACATCCTCCCCTTCATGGGCCCAGCTGTGCTGTATCTTCCAGCCTCTTTGCATTTAGGTGGGGCTATGTTACCAGGTTTGCCAAGGACTGTAGCAGAAGGGATGTGAGTCACTTTCAGGCCAAGGAAGCAGGCATATTTCTCCATACTTTCTTACTTTCCTGGTTTGAGTAACAAGATACAGAGTAGGACAAGATCCTAGAACACAATAAGCATAAGGAATCTCTAAGAATAGTGTGGTGCAGAGCCACCCTCTCACTCACTTCCCAATCTACCAACCTGCATTGGGAACTGCATGAGCAAGAAATAAACCTTCACCTAATTAAACTCATTTCCTGTCCTAAATCTAGTGCTCCTACTCTACCATCTTACAGTATCTTGGCAATTTAATGCCTCAGATTTAGGTATACATACACATACACATGTACACACACATACACACACATATTTGTTACAAAGAATTTGCTTAAACAGTTGTGGGACTGAGATAAGCCATTTCTTTAAGGCTTTGTCTCTATGGTAGATCTAGAACCTGAGGTACACAGGGACAACAAGAAAAAGG